TGTTAGTATAAGTATATTTCACGAGTTTATATGACCTTAAAAAATAATACAAATTCTGAGTAAAACGTCCTTATTAGCTATAAGTAAAAACTCTCATGATAGTCATATGATCAATAATGTCGAACAATCAGAAAATATTCCCAAGTTATTAACATTAAAGTTAATTCTTATTCATTTCTAGTGAATGAGATATCATATTTTGCTTCTTTTTATGTATTATTGAAATTTCTCTCCTTTTTCATTAATGGCCATGGGGAAAATTTGAACACACAAAAATCCCCATATCTTCAAATACATTAATTAAAAATGTAAATTACTATCCCACAAAGCTCCCTCTACTTCCCCACACGCATTGTGCACGGCTTTCATCCTCTCTACTGATTTGCATATTCCGCTGCACGGCCAATCAAACGATGCCACGCACATGTTCCCCGATTGCTTCTTCCATTCACAATCTTTAGACAAGGAAAATTATTGAAAAATTCGAATAATAAACTAATAAATACATAGTAAAGCTACAAAATAATCATATATAGACTGAATTTTATTTAATTTGGCCTTACCCGGAGGGGTTCCACAACACATGGACCGTTCATCCACGTGTTGTACTTCCAAGCCAATGAACCACGAACCCATCGAAACATCCTCGTTAGCGTATCTGTGCAGGATGCCCCTATATGTGCATATGTGTTATTATTCCTTACTTTAAGGAATATGAAGGACGAAGGATTTTGGACCGTGACGTAGTTAATATATACTTACGAGTTGATTGATATATAAGTGGCTAGATCCTTTGAAATTCCATAAATTTGACCAGTTGCATGCCTGAAGTATTTGTTACCTTCTTCCCCAAATTTCCAGTACTCAGGCTCATGATACCTAACTCCTCTGCCAATGATCAACAAAATTATTGAGTTAGATTTTCATGTTATAGGTAAATACTTTAGTGTGTGCACGCACACGTAGATACAAACTAAGAAATGCTACATGTATATATTGTTTTCACAGATTGTTTACAGAGGACTAGGTGGCAAGAAATTCATTAGATTTTCGACAAAAAATAAAGTTAAACCAGCCAATGAAGTACTGCCATCTCAGCCCATGTAAACCTATCTGTACAAATTGCATTTTTGGGTCCAACTCACTTTTGTGCGAGAACTGGTCCGGACTTCATGCATCCAATGTAAATCCGAGGTTTTGATCTGTACTTAGAAAGCGTGCTCACCAGCGTACCCAAATTTAGATGGACATCATCATCCACCTTAACGTAGAATTCTGCATCCCAGATTGAGATAGCCGTTGAGAAATACAATCGAGTTTTGGTAGAAAGCTCGTGGTAGCCTTCGACATGGTTCAGTCGAAAGAAATCTCCGTGCTCTGCATTTTCTGCATCGATAGCTCTATCAAGAACTCCCCCTGGTTTTGAACTGTGTCCTATCACAAATCGTATCACAATTCCTTTCTCTTTCTCCATTTTTTCCAATTTCTCTCCTGCAACGTTGAAAATTTTATAGATCATGTGTAGCTATCTATCACAGCTTGCTCTATCAGTTTAAGCTTTTAAACGAGGTGAGACCTTTTCAAGTCTTGCAACTACCAATTTGTAAACACTGTGCATGTATCAAGTTTTTGATGAAATTAAGAAAAATAATAATGAAAACCTTTAGGCATCCATGTTTCTCGAAGAGAGTCTCTTCGTTTCCTGCTACTGAAAGCGGTATTAATTCCTATAACGACGAAGGCTTTCTGCAGACGACTGTGATTTGAAGCTACTTGTCCACCCATTTGGCTCGCCCGAGATGCAGCCAATTCCATCTCCAATGTTGATATAGTTTTGTCAAGTGATCTGCTACAATTTTATTTGTTCAGAAACCCCAAAAAATAAATTAATTATGAGATAAATCAACAAGAAAGTTGTGATCTTACTGGATGGCTTCTTGCGTCTTAATTACTTCCCCCATAACATCTACCGAATTTTTTTCAACCAATTTCTGATGGAAAATCAATCCTTATATTAGGAACATATATAAATTAAAGTAACAAAAATTGATGATCCCATTATATTATAGGCTTACTCTTTTCTTGTGATCACACTCTTGTGTAGATTTTTCGATGTTTTCCAAATGAGCAGGGTTTATGGTAGCGATGACCTGATGATCTGCAGGACGTCGCGATGACCTAGTTTGCAACGTAAAAAGTGATCCCGAGAGAAAGCTTGCAATGCATAGTACAAAAATGAGCTTTACCGAAACTGATTTCCCCCGTGTTTTCTTGTTATTCTCTCCATTTAGCTGCGAGGGCCAAAAAATCGACGCCATTTGCCAAAACTATCGTACAAATCTGAGGCGCCGTAGTACTTATTTGCTTATGCTCTTTGTGAAAAAACACCACAAACGCGAAAATTTATCTTCTCTATTTCGGCGCAGAATGACTTTGATTGATTGATGTGGACTCGCAACAATAACTATACGAAAGCTCTTTCCTCTCGAAATATTAGTAACTACATATCGATAGAAATATAAAACTATAGGAATTAATTACATAATAAGAGAAACTAAAGTAGTGAGTACATATACGAATGTACCTGTTAATTATGACATGAACGATCATGAGGATCACCAATATGGAAGATGATGATTTCACTGAATATTTTCTTTATTTAGGATCATATATATACATAAAGATGTGTGTACGTATGATGTCTTCATATCCTTGTATGAGATGAAAGTGTTTGTTCGGAAAAGGTGGCCGTTAAATCATGTGGTACTCATGTTTCAACAAACTGTCTGCTTTAAAACACAATGGAATTTCAAATCAAAAACCCCTCACATCACCTTATATTTTTCAAATTTATAATAACATACACGTTTCCGCATCGAATTGCAATATTTTGCCTAAACTGTCAATGTTTAGACGCTATATGTTTGTTAATTAGCTACGTAACAAACTCGACATTGTTACATGATTACGAATTAATTCAACATATTATAATAGCAACCAAAAATATTCATTATAAGAAAATTGTGCGCTTTATATGGTAGTCGAGGACTATCTTTAGTGAGACTGTTGGATCTTTTGTACGTAGTCCCAAACAAATACGCATGAGACGATAGTGTAGAGCACCTTCAAGCTCTAGCCCAAGCATAGGCAACGTTAACTGACGATCGTTAATAATGATAGTATCTAATCTTTGCTCATTATCATACTTATGTCGTTAAATTTTTTATTATATATTCAAATTTTCAACTTTCTATTAACTAACATATCTTGTACATGTTATAAGTTTTGCCTAAAAAATCCGTTAGTAAGACATAGTAAGACTTATTTATCCATCATAATTTTAAATAAGTTAACAATACCATAATTATGAAAATTCGATAAAAATCATACAACTATTTCAAAGTTCATTAACAGAATATTTCAACAGAAATTGCCGTAAGGGATAAGATGTTTATACTTTCAAAATATAGTTTGTAATTGTCGGTCCACAAAAAGATTAGAACTATTAGATCAATATTTGGTGAAATAATTAAGAGTAATGTTACGTGTACACCTCAAATTGTACAAAAGGGGTTACACCCCTCTCACATGAAGGAGAACACACAAATATTTTATTGGATATGGCCTGCCTCCATGTAGGGGGTGTAAGCCCGTGTGTACACCATTATGTACACGTAGCATTGCCCAATAATTAAATGATTGAGATTTAATTGTAAGAGATATTTCTTTGGTGAAAAAACATACACACACACATATATTCATCATTAGATCATTTGGTGAAACGACTAGATGGTTAAATTTAAATTGTAAGAGATGTGTCTATGGTGAAAAAAATAGACATGCACACACATGTATGTATATTCATAATTCTTCCAGATTTCCTAAATATTTATGATTTCTCCTTTACTTTTTTTGTTGGAGAATAATAGTGAAGGAAGGAATTAGTCTTCAGTTTTATTTTAGTAGAAAAGATTGAAATTTTTCCTAAAAGGAATTGTAAGGGATATGAGGAATTAATAGGTCATATTTTAGGGCCTTGATAAGATGGGCTCGAAGCCCAATTGATATTGGCCCAAACCTTGTAAGCGTTGGCCCTGTAGAAAAGTTTAGTGGAACGATCACCTATTTCACTGTTTCATCGTAGTTTGGAAAAGATAAATCTATTTTTATTAAAATAATTTGAAAATGAAAATAGAAGGAGAAACACAAACAGAAGGGCGAAAAAAAAAATTAATTATATTCACAACACAATTTTTATTTATTGTACTATATTTTAATTTTACTTAAATTTATCAATATTTATTTATTGTAACACTTTATTTGGTATAGTTTTTTCATTGCATTTTTATCATCAACCTCATTAATTATCTTATATTATCTCTAACAGTAATTTTCGTCCAAAATGTCAATTTAGCCCGTGTTTACTGAAAATTAAAATCTTGGTTTTGATCTAAATCAAAGTCAATAATCAATATTAACCACATATTTTATGAGTTCTACAACTTTTCAACCTCATATTTCATCTATTTCTATCAAAATTTACTAAAAATCTAATTTTAATTTTTACTGAATAAGGGCTTAGAATGCAAAAATACCTATTTTTTTCATTACATTTTAAAAAAAATCAATAAATTCAAAAGGGCAATAAAATAATTTTTTCCTCATTTCAAAGCACATAAATAAAATATCTTGACAGAAATAATGCGTTAATTAATAGATTATACTATTTGTACATAAAAATATTACATAAGGGATTACATAAAATAATGTAAAGGGACAAAATTGGATTAAAAAAAATTAATTGTATTTTAATTTCACAAATAATAGAATGATATGTGGCATTATATAACTCATTATATAAAGTTTGATGTATATGTAGTAAAGTCATTAATTCATAGAAGATCGAAGATAAGAATTTTGACGAAAAAAAAGTAAAGAACATAAGTACTATAATTAATAAATATTGAGAACCTAATTGTAATTATAATATGTTGCCAAAATAAAAATTGGGGTGCCCATATTTCATCCACTCTAGACTATTGCAAATGTGGATTAAAAAAAAATAATAATAATAATAATAAATAAATAAATAAAATTGGAGTTCTAAATACTCTTTCCAAAAGGGCTAAAGCCCCTGTGACAACCCCTGGACCCAAGAATAACCCTTCCAAAAGTTTAAGGACCTCGGCTGCAACTTTCTCGTACAAAATAGAAGCCAATTGTTTCTGATTTTAGAATGATTGTACACCAGGCTTCACGAGGTGTACTATTTCTTGCACGATGAGGTGTTAAGAAGGTCTTGACAGTAGTGATGATCTGATCTGATCTGAGATCCGCTGCTAAACCTATCCCAGAATTCGTAATACTTTTAGCGTACGTAATTGATATAATCATATTTGTGAAGACAATAGTTTCAAGAAGATGGCTGATATGGCTTCATATCAATCAGTAAGCCCATTTCTTTCTTATATCCTTTATCTTATTCTCCAATTATGGCTATACATACAATTATCATATGATGAAATAAATGTTATGCTGTATGACATGTGGGTGTGGATTATGTATATAGGATGAGACAGATGTTGGGGAGAGAGCTATCTTGGATTTGGGAGCCTTTGTTGGGGATTTGATCATCGAGGACGATGCTCCAAGGTAAAAACATTTTTTTCCCCTGTTTTTGGGTTTTGCAGTAACAGTAATCATGGTAATGCTGAATGATTTCTTGAATTTGGTGGATTTGTTGTGTTGAATTTGTTAGTGATGACGTGTCACTTGAGGGACTAGAACAAGAGCTTGAAGATTGCAAAACTGATGATGTAAGTTGAGTCATCATTTTTGTGGGTAATATTATAATTTGCCCAAAATTGTTATGGGTTTTGTGTTTTTTATTCTGAAGGTAGTAGCAACAATACTGTCTAAAGGTACAAAATTGAGGGATTACACCAAGGATGTTGAAAACAATCTGAGGAAAGTTGAACTGGACTCTATTGAGGTTTGTGAATTATTATATTAGTTTGTTTTATCATTTGGGTTTAAATTGCAATCATGTTTTATGTGATCGTTTGCATATTCTTACTAATCCCTGTTCGTGTGGCTTCTATATTGTAATCTTGCAAATTTATAGATTAAAAACACCAATTTATGGTCTGTATTAAATTGCCTTACCGAGTTGATAACATCTACACCCGAAACAAGAACTCTACCAACGGTTATTGCCAACAGTTCTGCTATGGTTGGTTCTGTTCTGTAACCAACTACCTGGGGCAAGTAGCTCCTGTCGGTTTAGGGAATCGATTCTATGATTGAATAGTAGAAGTGCTACTTAGTAGTAGAAAATCGGGTAGGGGGAGACAGGGAGGGACTCTCCTAAAGGACAACACAATTTAAGATATGAAAGGGTTGGGCTATGAATGGGAGTGTGAGAAGATTTTAAGATCGCGTTTGCTTCTTTGTACTGGAGAGAAGTGATGCATCTCAATTTTGTTCAATATACCAAACACACAACAAATCTCAACCTTAAGGACAGTTTCTCATTAAGTCGATTTTCCTTGTAGCAGTAACACATTGTAATAAATATTCCTTGAATAAATTGCAATATTTATCATTTTGCGAATTTTCACTAGATTAGATGCTTGATCAAAAGTTTATAAAAGACACTAGAATTTTCTGCTTGCCTATGAATAAGTTCACAATTCTCTCATTGTGTACACAAAAATATACAGACAGTTGAGATAAACAACACGTAAACTACACACAAGCTCTAATAAGGTCACTTAAGTACAGGAAAAAAATCCTACACTTGTATTCATCAAAGTCCTTACCAGATGTGCTTGAAAACACCAATTTTGGAACTTAATTGCTCTTTCGAGCTTTAGATGGATCGAATTTTCGCTTGAGCTTGTTGGATTTTGATTCTTGGGATACCTTGTCAATAGCTTAAGCCATTATATACTGTTTACTTATATTTCTTTAATCGACATGAGCCTTTAACCATCCTAATCATCCTCGTACTCTTCAAACTCCCCTTTTTTCTGCAAAAGGTTTTTCTTGTTATAATACAAATTTATATAAAGCTATCACACTCTGTATGATTGAAATACTATCAAAATCAGAAAATGTTGACAAATTACACATCTCTTGATAGCTCTACTGCTTGTGTCAAATAAGATGCTTTCATTGTCATGTACTTTTAGTGTAATCATTTATTCCATATATATATATATATGGGGATTTCTATAACTGTTTGCATAGTTTTAGAATAAACGTTGAATTAAAGCACTCAAGATATGCTTACTGGTGCTGTTCTTATGTTTACTTCAGGATTACATAAAAGAAAGTGATAATTTAGTCTCACTTCATGATCAAATTCGGGATTGTGATACCATTTTGTCGCAAATGGAAACACTGCTAAGTGGATTTCAGGTATATTCCCTTATATTCAATTACCACACAAATGCTTCTCATTTTCTCGGCAACAATTTCTTGGGAATCAGGCATGCAAAATATTACATTACAGGTTCTAAATGAAATTGGAATTAATACTTGTGAACTATTAAATATAAATTGACCTTTATCCATTTTTATAATTGTTTCCTCAGTATAAGAAGTGATAGACTGGTTCTTTTCTCTTCGATGAATATTAGTGATGTATAAAGAGCCACGTGGAAGTTTGTTCTAGTAATTATTTACTTTCAGTAAGTTGCTTACCAAAATTTTGCGCAACACTTGTTTTGATTTTTTCTTGAAGAGTCCGGAAGCTCACTTTGTGCTGTTAACATTTTTGGTCTCTCTCTCTGTCTTTATAATAACATATTTGAGCAAATATATTGCTAGTTTAATTATTTTTACGCAGAAAACTTGTGTTTTCAAGTTTCAACATCATTTATTTTTTTGTCATTTTGCTAGGCCGAGATAGGTTCTATAAGTTCAGATATAAAAATTCTTCAAGAGAAGTCTATGGATATGGGGCTGAAGCTGAAGAATCGGAAGGTAATGTTACTGTTTATGCCACTTTAGTATTTTTTATTGGATAAGCATAATCAGATTATAAAGAGATAATTATTAGATTCTACTGCTTCATCATATTTTTTGGTTTTGAAATAATGTTGCATTCAACATTGCGACTGAATATGGTTAAGCATAATGTAGTTGTGCACTTTTAAGATGTCATGAATGTGCTTTGTGGCTTGGAGGGAGATATAAGTTTGACCCTCACAGTCACAGGTGAGGCAATTTCTTGACCTACTCTAATAACTAATAAGAAAAAGACGATGACATTGATCTTCTCTAGAATCAAATATGACTATTTTCCCAAGTGCCAGCACTTTCTGAAATTTTCATGCACTTCCTGTGTTATTTGTCCACAGATGCCAACCATTTGTATTTTGGACTATCATCCGCTCTCTTGATACTTTTTCACTTCAGGCTAGTATAGATTGATGTCAAATCATCTCACCTTTTTATTTTTATCCCTATTTATTAATTATCATTAAAAAGTTAGGAATATTTGGTTCTTTACCGGAACAATTTTATCTTTGAAAAAGAAATAAAACTTGCAATTGGCATTAGTTGCTTTCTTGGTTTTTGCTACTATGTGTCATCTACTTCAAATGCAACCTAGACTTGGTCATACGTGTTCGTGCAAAACCCGCAAGCGTACGAGACCATTGACAAGTAATAGATTTAGTGAGTTAAGAGTTATCGTCCCACAGGAAATAAATTTCAATTCAAGTTTGCTAGTTATGTATGAAATTCGAATTATATAAAATAAAAAAGGAATTTTGATTTTATTTTTGCTAAATTAATCTAGGAAAGCAATAAAAGCTTGGTTTCTATCAAATTATGGATGACTGTATTGGATTTCGACTCCGCCTATTGCTATCTATTTCAATTTTTGATTTGTAATCTAGTTTCGTTTATGCGTTCTTGACAATCGATAAAGTTATGATATAAAATTTGCTTTTTCAAGACAAATTAATTCTATCCTAACCACAACCCGAATCTATTCCTGGCCTGAATTTGAATGGTTAGAATGTATTAAAGTTTAGATTATTAATATGATTGCACAAGTTATAAATGTTATTCCTAACATCTATTGCAAATATGATAATTTTGCAACGTTCTAAACTTATTGTGAGTCTCTCAACACTACCACAAGCAACTAATTATCTAATTGGTGTTTAATCAATTAAATAATGTAATATGTATGTAAAATTAATTAAGAAATACAAGAATTAAATTAAAATATAAGCGTGTGTTTGGCCCCCATTCTTGCCAATTTTTTTCACTCATTTTCATAAATTGTGGTCCACACGTTTGGAGTTGGTGCATCAATTTCCACTTACGGCTGCCTTTTTTGACTTTTCCTTGGGGTGGTCCACATAAAATTCACCCAATGTTGCAAAATTGCTATTGACATGTTATCAATGGACTTGACTTGGTGAGGGTAATTTAGTCCAATCAATTTCCAATGGTCCAATGGGCAACCTGAAGTTTGACACTGCATTTAAACTTTTGCATTGTTTATTAATTGTTTACTGTAGATTAATGAGATTTGGAAAAAAAAATAGCAAGAATGGGGGCCAAACACACGCTTAATCTTGAAGGGCTCATCTTATCCAATACAAAAAAAGAGATCTAGCCTAGTATGATTGTAAATAAATTACAAGAAGAATAATGGAAAAATATTACCCGGATAATGAAAGAATACAAAAGATGTTGATCTTCAAGTCTAAAGTTGAATTTTTCAATTTCTTGATTTAATTGACCTTCAATTCTTGTTACGCTTGATCTTCTCTCCCAAAAGTAACGAATTGACCTCGATCCAAATGGCTCTTGGGTCAAAATTTTGGTGTCTTGTGCCGTTGTGCACGCTATCGTCCCTGAGTAGCTTTCGATATTTTGGTCATAACTTTTTTTTTTTTTATTCGATTGAAGTGATTCAAAATGTGTTGGAAAGATAACTTAAATTGCTACAATTCTTCTAGAACTATATATTTTTTTTAATTTAAATGTTTGTTATCCAAAAAATGCGTCTCAAGTTCAGGAAAAAAATTCAGAGATCACTTCTTCAACTGAAAATTGATTCGTGAAAATACTTCAATTATATTTCACTCAATTGACTTCCAGTTGCATTCAATTGATCATATATTATCTTCAATCATCATTTTATAGTCCGAATTAACTATTGGATTTTTACACTTTAGTCCTCGAACTTTGGATTTCTTTCGTTTTTGCCTGTTTTCATTCACTTCTTCCAATTCCACCTATTTGCCTTCGAGTTTTACCTGATAAACAAAATTAACATCTACTTAAGTCATAAATCATCAAAATTTATTACAATTAATCTCATTTAACGGCTCATATAAGTGTATAAAATGAATTATTCTTTTTATTTCATGAATGAAAGATTCAAAATTTCGAAAGCATTTCTATCTATTGTGAGAAGCAATGAAAAGAGGAATGAAATGAAATGGCCATAGGATAATCAAGACCTGTTGAATTATTATCTGCTTGTATGTTCCTTTCACATCTTGCAGGAGTGGAATTCCTAACGATGTTCAACTGACATATGTGATGTATTGTACTTGCTAATCTTGTAAGCTTACGATACAAAACATTGTATCCCAGAGCCTTAGAATGACCACATGATGTATGCTTTTTTTTTCTTCATTTTTTTATGTAACTCCTGTATTTACTAAATCTGGATTATTGGAAACATTTTTGCATCAAGAGATTGTTCAGTTTATATTGATTGGACACTACTGTCTTCAAAAGTTGGAGTTTGTACTTTTATTCTTGCTTTCTCTTTATGCCGTAGTTCGTGTTGGGTTACATACTTTGCAGGTGGCAGAATCAAAATTAGCTAAGTTTGTTGAAGACATCATTGTTCCACCAAGGATGATAGACATAATCGTTGATGGAGAGGTACATTAAGTTTTCTCTCAGTTCATTTGCCTTTCTTATTTTGAATGGTCAATGTGAAACGTCAATATGTAAAACTTTATAATGCAGTTAGGCCACATCTAATGTCTCATGCTAGCTTTACACAGCAATTTTTCTTTTTCATTTTCCCTGTTTTTCATTTTTTTATAAATGTGACTTTCATTGTCAATGCCAGAAAACTATTGACTTACGAAAAGTCATCAACCTATGTTATCATTATTTTATATCTAGTTCATAATAATTGAAGGGTCACAAGAATATGATATATTCTTTTCCAAAATATAATGATTTAACTATCTGTAGATCATAAGAAAGATGCATTGCTTGAATTTCCCTGCCCGCAGAATTGACATCTATCCAATATGACTCCTGAAAATTTTGAATGTTAAGTTTTCAATGCTTCCCCATTCATGGTTAAGTGAATTATCTGCTTCCACAAATCAACCAACAAAAAGCTTTTGTCCGCTGACTCTATTGGAGCAGTTGTTAAGAGAGTATTAGCCTTTTCGCCCAGCTACAAATAGAAGTCAGCAAACCTGGGTCGTGTCTCTGAATTACATTGGTTGCAATTCAAGAACTGAAGTGTCAATAACGTAATGGATTTGAAAAAGTTGTTTTGGGTGTATATAAGTCATAGAATAATGAGTATCAGTTGGTTTAAGATTTGTGAATTTTAGTTGGCCCGATCCTTCATTTTTTTATGTGGATGTTCACTGGAATAAACAAAGTCATATCAAAATTTAAATCCATAGACTTTAGGATCAAAGTCTTTTAAGGAAACATGATCACTACAACTCCAGAAGGGGATTATTTCTAATGTGTTAGGGTTACTGTTTTTAGTTATTGTTTTGAAACTTTAGAATGTTTTGGTCTTTATTATCAGTTGGGATTCTAATATTGGCAATATTAATTGTATCGCTATAATTGCTCAACATCTTAGTGTACTTATGCTGACGTTATCTTAGTATCTTATAGGAAATTGGGAATCTAAATTGTTTTTCTAATGCTTATGGACACAAGCATTTTTCAGATTGCAATAGATACTGCAGAGTGGTTTGGGTTTTGAAATTTTTTTTTTTTATTTTTTTATTTTAAGTTATGGTGACTACACAGCATATTGTATTCTTCCATAGGTCAATGAGGAATATATGAAGACTCTTGAGATTCTGAGTAAAAAGCTGAAGTTTGTTGAAGTCGACCAAATGTTTAAGACATCAAAAGCTCTAACTGATGTTCAGCCCGAGTTGGAAAGACTTCGGCAAAAAGCGGTTTCGAAGGTATGTGTACATTAAGCAAAGTAATCACATCTACAGTTAATTAGCATCATCCCTAATTCTTCACTTGTATTTAATCCTTCTGTGTTTTGGTAAAAACCTCATCTATAGTTGGTCTTGATTTTTGTCTTTTTTTTCCTAATTGAACATTACTTGGAAACTTTGTAATATTCTTCATGCAGAAAGTTGTAAGCCTTTGAAAAGGCTATATTATGTACATCGTAGGCATTATAACAAGTTTTGTGCTACAAATATTCGCATCATAGATATATTTTTGTATAGCTATGACTCTTGATGTCAAATATTGCTTGTATGCAATATGCTAAAGAGCCGCTAGGATGAATTTATTTAGTGCATTTGACCAACATACCACCTGGATGTATGATGAGTTTAATATCCTGACTTGTTTATATTATTCAGTGTGTTTGAACAGTATTGGAGAGTTCATCATGAGAGTTGGTTCTTATTTATTTTTAAAGTTAATAACTGCTGTTTGCAGTTTCTTCTTGTCATTTTACTTGTCAGAAGTTTTAGAACATGACATTGCAAGTATTATATTACTCCAAGTCTCCATCTAATAATATTTGTTTTTCTTGCACTTCCAAAAGGTATTTGATTTCATGGTTCAGAAGCTTTATGCTTTAAGGAAGCCCAAAACAAATGTCCAGATCCTTCAACAAAGTGTTCTTCTGAAATACAAGTGAGTGTGTTTATATTGAAATTCAACTGATATTCATATCTCTGTGTGCTTATATGAAATTTTTATTATTTATGACGAAGTTAACTAGGTCTATCCCAATAAGTGGCTGTGAGCTTTTCTTCTTTGTTCCTCTGTCATTGTAATTATCTTCTGCTAATTCAATTTGTTACCTTAATATACCTCCACTCAGTTAAATTTATATGGTGTGAAAATGCCATTGGCGTGACTCTTAAGATTGATGAGTGACTAATGGCAGCACTTCATTACTAGGGTGAACTATATTTCTAGTTACCTATTACGTAAACTTCTTTGTATATTGCATTTTTCATTTTTTTTAGATCTAATGAATGCTTAGGCAACACCATTTGGAAAGGAAGCTATTTATAGCAAATGGTAAGGAGATTGCAGCGTCTATTTGCTGTAGGATTACAAGAATGGAAGAGAAAGAGGGAGAAGAGAATATTAGAGCATTAGAGAAAGAAACAACATGAAAAACAATTATTCAACTCTTTGACAACATGAAAAGGCAAATGCTCTGACCTCCCTCTCTATCCATTCAAGGGATGGAAAGGCAAAGGCAAAAATAGAAAAAGAAAGGGAAGTAACAGACTGGGAGGGGTGAAATGCGAGTCAAAGGGGAAGAGCTATGTGGCCATAGAAGTCCCATCCAAACTATCATGGCATCTATAGGCTTATATAACTGGGCCCTATTGAGGCAGCTAAAATACTTGAAAAACACTTCTTAAAAATATCCACGATAGATGAACAAACACTTAAATCCGGCTTTTGCAGCTAAAGAAAGGGAAGTAACAGACTGGGAGGGGTGAAATGCGAGTCAAAGGGGAAGAGCTATGTGGCCATAGAAGTCCCATCCAAACGATCATGGCATCTATAGGCTTATATAACTGGGCCCTATTGGGGCAGCTAAAATACTTGAAAAACACTTCTTAAAAATATCCACGATAGATGAACAAACACTTAAATCCGGCTTTTGCAGCTAAAGATAAAATGACTATACTAATCCAACATGGGCTCTTATCTGATAATATCATCATGCATCCCATATGGTATCACATCCAACATATGCATGAATCCCTCATCTTTTTGAAGGGTGGAGAACGAGGTTAATTGAAGGGTTCACTTCTTTCGTTCATCTCAATTACTGTGTAATTTTGCCCATTCCTTTGTCTCGATAAGCTTCACCTTTTGCATATGCATTCTTCTCTGTAATTTACATATCATTAAGGCTTTGCAGTGTGAATGTTAGTTAAGAGGCAATTTCCACGGATGTACCTATTGTACAGACAGAATGTATTCTCATCCGTTCATTTTTTATGATGTACTTTATAGATGAGGAAGAAGGATTGTTCACCTTGATAACTTGTGCTAAGCACCTCTGAAATTCAGAGCTATTAGATTTTGGTTTCTGTTTGTTTCTTGAGGGTAGAGGTGATGGAGAAATTTTACAATTAACATAACACGTTTTTATATGTTTTATTAAACATGCAGATATGTTATTTCATTTCTTAAGGAACATGGAAAAGAGGTTTATCTTGAGGTTCGTGCTGCATATATTGACACAATGAATAAGGTAAATTCTTTGTAAGCATTTACTACTTTGGTTTAAAATTTTGTGCTTGTGAATTGCACTTTCTTGTTTTGTTTTGTTTCTCAGGAGTATTCCATTTCAAGTTACCACCAAATAGCAACTAATTTACACCTATAAGATGATTAGAGGGTAGAATAATGAAGATATTGTCTTTTACATATCTTGAATTGCTAGTATTCTATTGCAGGTTCTAAGTGCCAATTTCCGTGCTTACATTCAAGCATTAGAGAAGTTGCAATTGGACATAGCAACATCTAGTGATCTGATTGGTGTTGACACTAGAAGCACTAGTCTATTCTTGAGAGGAAGAGAACCTCTGAAGAACCGGTCTGCTGTTTTTGCTTTGGGAGAAAGGATAAACATCCTTAAGGTTTGATATTCTATTAACTGGAAATATATGTATTTTAATTCTGCAGTCTGGTTCATACATGAAATTTTGCTTGCTAATTTTCTGCGTATACTATATTGTACCCTCTTGTATTATTCTTTTTGTTTATAACTAAATAAGATGTACATATTCCTCATTTCCTTTTGTTCGTAACATTTTCATGATATACATAAGCATCTTTCTAGTTAAAAGAATATATTTTCCAATTCAATCCCAGGTCAGTTGGAAGCTATGTGGAACTTCTTTCCCCTAGGCTACATTTTCAACTATTTCACTAGAAAATTACATTTGCACAGAAAACAAAATTACCTATTTATACAATCTTTTTCTAATTAATTGCGAGTATTTTTCAATCCACGCCTACAGAGAATAAAAAAATGTTGGCCTAGATTGTATTGTATAATAATTTATTTATCAAGTACAGATTTTTTAGTTAAATGTTTTTTAAATTAGTTATGTCAGTGCATACTATTTATTGACATATGATTGACTAAAACATGTATCAATGTATACTGATAGACTGCCATTTAAGGGTAACTAAAACATTATCATAGTTATCTTATGAACGAAGGCATTGTGAACTTTTAGTATGTCTTAAGTTTGGTTATGTTGATGAATTAAAAATATCTTTTATCTAGATTTGGTATCTGACCATTGACCCACTAGATAAACAAGTGATGTGCTGATTGAAAGAGTGACCAATCCTCTTGCCAGGTTAATGGTCCGGTCAAGTCTCATGGCTATGGTTTTGAGGTGTTTTTAATTTATCATAGATTGCCATGACTGTTGAATTTACAAAGGATTTTATTGCATTTGGTCTTTGAGTAATATTTACAGTCATAAGACCAAATGACTCCCAAGGAATCATGTACACAACCCCAATATACTAGGAATAAGACTTAGTTTATTTTAATGGTTGAAAGTACTACTAAATTTTAGGTTATAAGGGCCAGCGGTTGCTGTTTTCCACTGAAGAGGATTTGTTACGAATCACAGTACTGGGAATTATTTTAGACCTAGTGCTCTGACTAAATGTTATAAACATTTTCTGTTGAGAGGATGCATCCAAACAAGTATATGCACTGTGACCTGTTGTTTTCTGAGGTGCTTTCAAGCTCTTTTTTATTGAATTTAGTAGAAAAAATAAGCTAGTTGTGGAATATATATATATATATATATGATAATTTGGCTGTCTAGGAGCTACTAAGTTACTGTTTGACAAGGATCTTCTTTTAGGAAGTAGTCTGAACTACGTTTTGGTGACATTGGACTTCTATTTACCTGGCGGACACCTTGCTGAGTGAAATCGTACCTAGTTCTGCTTGCTTGTCTTTTGTGGGCAAGCGAAGGTGTCATGAATCCCAAATATAATTTAAATCTTTAGAGGGCCATTGTGATGGACAAAACATGCAAAATAAAATCATTTGAAACAAATCAGCAGGACTTCCCGATTTTTTCATCACTGAGTACAATAAGTGGAGTTAGCGTCAGAATATTACACAACAAAGGGCTGTCCATTTCTGCATCCTGAGCTGGGAACCATTGGGGAATGGGATCTGGTAAAGAGTCCACGATGCTAGCTATGAACCACAAGAATTTGAGACATACTTTTATCAAATGGTTGAAATTAAACAATCAATCTAAAAGTATCCTTATGAACCTGCATTAATTATGTAAATTTAAGGAAACATGTAAATTCTAGCTGAAGTTCAATCTTTGATTTTTTCATGAGACTAAATAACTTATTTAAAGATTTAGTTTTATCATCTATTTAAGTAAATGTATAAACAAAATTCTTCTCTGTTTTGTCAAAAGTAATATAATTGACTGTTCTAGTCTCTTTTCCAGGAAATAGATGAACCTGCATTAATTCCGCATATAGCTGAAGCCAGCTCCAAAAAGTATCCTTATGAAGTCCTTTTCAGGAGCTTGCACAAGTTGCTAATGGATACTGCTACTTCTGAGTACTATATATTTCTCTCCTTTCCTTTAAATTGAACTTTAGTGATGGTTATATAACACAATATCATGCACATCTTTAAATGTGTCTATTCTCTATTGCCTTGTCATCTTCCAGATACCTTTTCTCCGATGAATTCTTTGGAGAAGAAACCATATTTTATGACATATTTGCAGGTATACACAAATATATCCTGAATTTTTAGTTTATTATGTTTCGACTGTACGTGTGACTGCATATAATAACAAAGAAAATCTTTATAGCTGGCATTTGCAACAAAGAGAAACAATTAATTAATTGTTGTTAAGACCAATTTTTAACTTGCGGCTGATGCTGCATATCATGCTTACTGTATCCACCATATGACCATATCCTAGGAAGCTTACTATCTGAGGACAATGCAACCTTTTTCTATCTTCATTGAGTTTTATAGATCAAAGTTTATTTCTATGACACTAGTTTTTTATGCTACCACTACATTACTTGGAGTTCACTAAATACAAATATTTTGCTTTCATGACGATGATGTTCAAAACATTTGTTTTTGAAATTATTAGGCCCCTTTGCAGTAGTTGACGAACACTTCAATACAATTCTTCCGAATTGTTTTGATGCAATTGGACTGATGCTCATGATTCGCATCATACACCAGCACCAGGTAACTGTCTACACTTACTTTTACCATTTGAATGGCTGTCTTAATTCATTTCTTATAATGCATACTGTTCTGTAACATAACTCTTGAATTTAGTTTTTGTATGAGTTTTGTTCTGATCAAATATCTATTATTCCTCCTCATAACCTTGTCACATTTTCTTCTGCAATTGAGATTGCCTGGAATAGTTTTATGTTAGGGAAGGTTTTCAAGCATTCAATAACATTTGCCTTGGTCCATAAGCGACTGGGGGCCACTGCACAGTTTGGTTACTGATAAGTGAGTACTTGAAGGGCCAGACACGGTGCAGGCCGCACTTTTGGCTTAACTGTTCCAGGTGGCTGTCAGTTTGGACTCAAAATGTTCCCATATTAGTAGTTGTTTTGTATATCACAATGATTGTCTGAAATTCCTTAATAAATTGGCATTTGGAGTGAATATCTTTTGAGATTTTGAACAGCAATGGAGAATAGTTAAGGGTCAGATATTATGTTTTACTAATGATTGATGGTTACTCTATAAAGTTATTTTCCATTGGCAAAAAGACAGATAGAAGTGCTTTTTGACTGAAAGTGAAATGTTGTCTCTTGACTATTCACTGTCAAGTTTGGTGTCCAGATAAAATTTAGTGCGTGTATTTATGATGGTTTAATGCTACATTCTGTTTCTTGTTGAGTATTTGAGTCCCTTATTCTTGCTTTTACTGCAGCTGGTAATGTCTCGACGCCGAATTCCATGCCTAGATTCATTCCTGGACAAGGTATGTGTTTTGTAATTTAGTAAGGACCAGTGTGTGTGAGTTTGGATGTTGGACTGGCATACCCAATGATTGTACTTTGGAAACTTTTGATCAGTTAACTTTTTCGGTAGGTATTACTTATTGCTATATGTAACACCTGTCAACATGGTCATGACAAAGCAGTAATTTGAACCTGCTAAAAGGTCTAAAGCAAATGAAGATTCCTGATATCTTTATTTTAAACCAGGTCAACATTGCTTTGTGGCCGCGATTCAAAATGGTATTTGACATGCACCTTAACAGCCTCCGTACTGCCAATGTCCGGACTTTGTGGGAAGATGATGTGCATCCACATTATGTCATGAGGCGCTATGCTGAGTTTACAGCTTCTCTTATTCACCTCAACGTTGACTATGGAGATGGTCAGGTTAGAGACACTAGAAGGTACTTAGCTCTCAATTGATCAAACTGTTGATTAGATAATTAATCATGTACAATGACATAATGTACAGCTTGAACTGAACTTGGAGAGACTGCGAATGGCTATTGATGACTTGCTTGTCAAGCTTGCTAAATTGTTCACGAAACAGAAGCTTCAGACAGTGTTTCTGATAAATAACTACGACATGACAATTGCAGTATTAAAGGTGCATGAAGTCTTACATATACAATTTATTACATATGTACACATGAACGTCATCGTATCTAACAAAGTCCTACTTTTCACGAGTTTCAGGAAGCTGGTCCAGATGGGGGGAAAATTCAAATGCACTTTGAAGAGTTGCTGAAGAATAATACAGCCATTTTCGTGGTAATTATACACATGATTGCTTCAAGCCTACACGTGTTGCAAGAAATTATTCTTGAAATCAAATTATGACTGCCATTTTAAGTTGTGGTTTCTTCCCCACTACCTCGTTAAGACCAAATAGTATGCAGTATGATACTATGCTGTTTACTTAACGTCGGTTATAGGTAAAAATTCATCTATTTTAGACTATAAAAAACCATTCGATTGGCAATATGGGAATAAATTTCAATCTAGAAGTTTATTTCTTTGTGGTTCTTGGAACCGGCTTCAATAGACTTTTCCGGTCATTTTATAACAGTGGGATGAATTTTTTCTCAAGTGATTAATTTTCCATGCAGGAGGAACTGTTAGTTGAGCACTTCAGTGACCTCATCAAATTTGTAAAGACAAGGGCCTGTAAGTATCATAATGAATTTTATAGCTTGTCAATCTTCTGTTATTTTCAAAGTTGGCTTATTTTACTTTTTGTTGGCAGCCGAGGACTCAAGCTCTGGTTCAGAACGGCCAATAACTGTTGCTGAAGTCGAGCCTATTGTTAAGGACTTTGCCGGTAGATGGAAAACTGCAATCGAGCTAATGCATAATGACGTCATTACTTCTTTCAGCAACTTCCTCTGTGGTATGGAAATCTTGAGAGCTGCATTGACTCAACTATTGCTGTACTATACCAGGCTTTCAGATTGTATTAAGAGGATAGTTGGTGGCTCTACATTGAACAAGGATTTGGTATCCATATCATCAATAATGTATGAAATCAGAAAGTACTCGAGGACTTTCTGAGCGTTTTTCTTTTTCTTCTTTTTACCTTTGAAGAAAAATGGTTCTCTATAAATTGCTTCAAGTTTTGTATTTTGAAAAGGATATCAAATGGTATTCTTGGTTATTATTTTGCTTGTTTTGGAATTGATGCTGGTTTACATTTTAGATTTTGAAGTAAAACGTTTGAATGGAGTGTCCACCTTTTTAACTTGCTTGCAATTGTTTGTTGCTAAATCTACTTAAATTGTCAATTAGGGAAATTGTGTTGATTCTCATGATAATCAAGATTATGGTGCACTCTCCCTCGAACTTGGACTCGAACTCGAACAAATAAGAGGTCAAGAAGCAAGGGTTTGTTGACCAAGAATTTATGTAGAGCACGAGTGTGAGATTTGGTGTACAAATTTGCCATCTGAAATTCTTGCTCATTTGAGGGGAATCCAAGGGCTGTCTTCTAATCAAGTACTTTTTGAACAGGTCAAACAAGCTCAATTTGACGTAACAAAAATCTTATTAGATTGAAAGCATCAAGAAAAGCGAATAAAGTCAGTAGGATAAAGTACGAGAGAGAGAGTAGAAAAGGCCTTAAAAAAGGAATGAGTGATGACTCTACTTTAGTCTCTATGTTGCTTGTGAGTTGCCAAGTAGATTAGCGTTATACAAAGGAAAAGGGAGCTGCGGGCCCGTATATACGTATAATTGATGATGCTCTCACATATAAAATATTGTACTTATTTTCTATCTGATGTATGCCAATCTGGTTCAAGAAGTGTAACTTGCTGCAGGTAGCTCCTCTTCATTGAGCTAGTTAGGATTAAGTAATCCATCTCCCATTAGTAGACTAAAATCTCCATTTAAACGCGATTCGGTTTTATAGTAAGGAGTAGAGCTGGTGATGGTTTTACTTTTGAGCTTTTGTTGGTGTGGTTGATGGGTATCAGGCCATTTGTTTTCTTGGTTGTTAGTCAGTGGGGAATTTTTCGCAATGAGTCATGTACTCTCACTGATTAAGATTTGAAATTTTCATCTTAAAATGTTAATTTTATTAAGAGGTGTAGCCTTGACCCTTATAAATTTGTCTATATTTTCATATTAATTCGATGTGAGGATTTATCCCTTAACATTGTCAAAGTTGTATGCCTTTATTCAACCTACTCAAGACCAATCCGTTTGGACTTTTAAGAGGTTCTAACCAAGGAGGACGGAGAAACTCCCAAAAGATGGCAAATGGCCTAAAGAATGAAAGAATTTATTACATTTTTCATAAAATCTCCTCTTATAGATAGACTCAAAAATCGATATCGTTGGTGGGGTTGGGTCAATTTTTCGTGCAAAGAAGATGAGTTAATTTTTCAATTTTTATTTTACTTTCACTTATATCTTTTTTTTTTTTTTTCAACTCTACAAATGTATTTGATTGCAAACATGAAACTTCTATAGAAAAAAATAATTATTAAGTATTAATTATTTATGTTTGATTTTTAAAATTTTTCGACTTAGAAAATGGTATATTTACCCATTTTTTATTAGTGGATAGATGGGAGATAGTGAAAGTAAATTGCTTGAAAAATAAAAATATATGCATCCCAAAAAAAAATATTTTCCTTGTTTTTAAAGAAAAATATGGTTGCGTGGCCAGCTTTTGGAAAATATTATCTATGGAAGAAAAATATCGATCAAACATCCCAAAAATAAGAACTTGGGTGAAAAATAATATTTTTCATAAAAAATAAAGTCAATCAAACAATACTCAAACATTTTCCATCATTTGCACCTCATGTGACGATTTTATTGAATATTTGGGAGAAATACTTCAATAGGACAACCGTCCTCTAAGGGAGGGCCACCTCGGCGGATGACCCACCACACGCCCGAGGTATGTGGACAACCTGTTGAGGTGGTGCCTTGACATTGGGCGGAACGCCGTAGTGAAGTATTTCTCAATATTTGGACGGAAAATGCAAATTGAGACTAGCAGCATCTTAAAGAGTCAAGGGTAAGAATATCGAGAAATGATTACTGAGGGCATAAGAAGGGCAAGAAGTAGAGTAGGGTTGATCGTAAGAATGCAGAAAAATAAAGATTGAAGACAAAAGAAGGGTTAGAAGCAGAAGAGAGTATGCGTGCAATGTAGCTTAACAATTAATTAGATGAGAATCAATTTATTAACATGCATTTACTAGCTAACTAAGCTTCAGTATTTATAATTTGGTGAACCATCATAACTTGTGCATAATACTGACGAGTAAAATAAGCAGTCATTGAATGAAATTACTCAAATAAGTTCCCATTCTCGATCAACACTGATGGAGAATGAGCCTTCTTACTAGCTAGCTAGTTACAATCCAAACCATAGACTTGAATGTAAAGAGCATCAAGTTTACTTCAACATATATAAAATTAAGTTTGCGAAAGGGAAAGACGGGGGAGAGAGATCAGAATGAAGATGAAGATGACCTGAATCCTAACCATGGTTGATACTTGTTAGTGTAGAAGTACCCAAGAGACAAAAAATATCATTGGGTGAACTTCCAGGTGCAATTGATTGAAACTCCACAACCCTTTGGTGTAGTTTCTTAATCAAGAACTTGAAAAAAGAGTTCTAACACTATCCCTCCTAATCTAGTCTTGGTGTTAGTTACAGGGGCAACAACTCCATAAGTTTAGCCCTTAAACTGATATACAAAGAAGAAAAACAGTCAGTACCATCACCCTTACCCTAAGGAGAGATGATCTGTTTTTCGGAAAAAAGTAACGTAGGTAAAACGAGTTTTAAAACCCTTATCGAGAACAGAAACTTAGGGAATCCGTGCCCCGATTTCCTAATCAGCCACTATTTCAAGTTAGTATATAGTTATGCTAAGAAAATATTGGAGGGATTAGTCATTTGAAAATCAAAGATTCCCTAATTAGTTGAGCTTTTTCAAATTTACGATACTCAACAAAATTGATTAAAAAGTTGGTTTGCTTAGCCTTTCACGGGCTTAATTTTCAAAATGGATGTACATATTGCTTAGTCTTAGCCTCCGGGGCTAAACTAAGAAAAATCTTCACCAACTGATCAGCCCTTCACATGGCTTGATGAATTGGGAATAAGATGCAAATGCAAGCTTCGGTTCTCTTGTAGGAACCTCTCCCACCAAGAGACCGGTTTTCGATTTAGCCCCTATGAGGGGCTTCCATGTGTGGTAATGCCTGAATGCCACGTGCATCGGCTTCCACAACAGAGAGAAAGAGAAACAGAACCATGGTTAGGCTAAAGGCACTTCAGAAGCTTCTGATGAAGTGAAGTAGATGGAAATGTATCTCTCTTGATTGATCAGTGACATGAATCTCTTCATTAATGATGAGGAATTGGTGAATGCAGAACCATGTTCACGCCTGCGGCACAGCAAAACAAACTGTCAAAGATATTAGTCACCCAAAAAAAAAAATTACACAAAAAAAAAAAAAAAAAACTTTTTTTTAAACCCCCCTTTTAAAAAAAAAAAAAAAAAAAAAATTTATTCCACCCATTTTCATTTCCACAAAATGGAGGCCCAACGGAGGCTAAAAACGTTTACTAAAAGCCTTCTCAAAATTTTAAAGTTTTTCTTTTCTGAAACATAGTTTAAATGGCCTTCTTCAACATGATTTTAATTCCCCCAAAAGAAAATGAATTGAGCTGGTTTGCCAGAATTTTTTTACCACTTTAATTGACATCCTCTCACATGCGTGAGGGTCCTATATGAATAAAAAAGTCCAAAATAAAAGGTGGTCCCCCTTTATGAGTATCGATCAGGTTGCATGTAAACAATTTTCTGACAACATAGCGTGATTGAAAGAAAATAAGAAAGAGCTTTGTACAAACCGTAGGATATGCGTATTCTGCCGAGTATGGAGGGTACCTGACGTTTTGTTTCCCAAAAAACAAAAAAAAGTGAGAAAATTAGAATTAAGCAAGGTATGGCAGTTGTTTCATTAATTATATGCAAATGCATATGCATGCATTAATGCCTCGATTACATAATTTTATGTAGTAAATGTGAATACAGATAGGAACTTCTCTTAGTTTCTTGGCCGTACATGGCAATGTGAGTTCTTCTTGTTCCTATTCATGAAGAGAGAGAATACACAGTGACATGAGAATTGAATTGCCGCATAAAAAAATTTGTACAAGCTATTTGCGATGATGTCAGAATTGGGACCTGACCAGCTACTTCCCTCCTTTGACTACTGCAACTTTACCTTTTCTGGGATATGTTTTTAAAACATTGTTTATTCGTACTCATTGTTCTTCACTGTCTTATGTTTGCGCAGAGCTGTATGCTATTGATGAGAGTGGAAGAGAAAGAGGAAGCATAATGATTGAAAGAAGGTGTCATTCATAAGAATGCGACGTATAATTGCAGACAGAGAGAGAGAGAGTAAAAAATGGAGAGCAGTGGGGTTTACTGCAAGAAAGAGAGAGCATGCGTGAACAGAAACCCTAATTTAATGAGTTGGCAATGCACGTGCACATGCAGCCTTACAAACAGAGAGAAAATTAAAAAGGAAAAAATATATACATACCCATAAACATTATAAGGAATTCCTTGTTGGATGGCATAATGTGGGAACGTTGCTGCTGAAGCAAAAGCTGCTCCTCCTGCTTGAAACCCTCCTTGAAATGCCCTCGTCATTCTCATATTCCTTCCTCCTCCTCCTGCACCTCATCATCATCAACTCCTACTCACATATATGTGTGTATAATCTAGTTTGAACGGAACGGAAATGGGAAGCTAAACGAAAAACTAAACTAATGTAATCTTCAAGTACAGTTGCATTTTTGTGTTATATATAACACGGTAAAAAAGCGAAAGTGTTTGTAACAGGATGGAATGAGCTGTCATCATGCTTTTTTCATACTTGTGGCTGTAAAGCAATTATATACTAGTTAATTCATTGACTGCCAAAAATAAAAATATTAATGGGATAATATCCATTGTGTTGTGTGTAGAATATGGCGATGTATCAAGATGTGAATGATCTTGTTCATCAGATCACCTACTATCAATCTCTGATCTAAAGTAGAAGATGAATTATTTCACTTTTTAAAGCTAAACGTGCTCTTAGTAAAAAAGTAAATAACATATACGGACCGTGCTTTGGCGTGGAAGGCTTGGATCTTTGAACACCCAAGGAAGCAAGATTACAATTAGCCCTCCTTCCATCAATCACTGGACTAGCATCGACACAAGCTCTCATCGCTGCTTCGGCTTCGCGAAAAGTTACCTATTTAATTTTAATCGTACAAATGTTCGTAAGTCACAGATCTAAATTACGATTAACAGAAGATGTAAATTGAATGGGAAAAAAAATACATACAAATCCATAACCCTTGGATCTTCCAGTAGTTTTGTCAGTGATGACGACAGCTTCCAAGATCTCGCCGAACTGTTCAAAGTATTTCTTCATGGTGTCCTTTTGAGTCTCCCATGCCAATCCACCAACAAAAACTTTGGTGTAAGTCGTGTCTCCGAATTGTCCTGCTGGATTGCTCATATTCAGTCTTTGGTCCAAACTTGAATCAGTGATTCAGATCTAATATACGGATCTTGAATGAATTTGGAGGTATATTTTGATGAGGAGGAGTGAGAATGGATAATGAAGAGACAATTAGGTCAGAGATCCCTGCGAGGGAAAGAAGAAGAAATGGGAGGGAAGAATACTGAGAAAGCAAAAGGTCGAAAAAGGACGTGAATTATATACGTCCTATTCTAGTCCCCCACTTGTTTATCAAATGTATTCACGCGCTTCTCTTATCATTCCCTCCTCTTTAATTTAAGTTACGAGAACAATCTTGAATAAAAACAAAACAGGTCGATAAATGTTATTTTTTTTAGAATTTAGCTCTTTAGACAGGCTTAAATTCAGACTAAAAAACAGGGATTTTAAATTTTCCACTTGACGATTGTCAGCCCACTTAATTTTGGAGGGAAGTCAGTAAGTGTGGACCACTCTTTTTTCCATTTTCCCACCCCCTGATTACCGTAAGCAGAGTCCAACTTTTACAAAACAAATACAGCTCGGAGCTCGTGAAAACCGTCTATGACAACTATTCACATTTCGACGACGTTAAGGTCCGTCGAAGACGTTCAATCCCTGTCGAAGACGCGTGCATAGGTAAAATCAATTTACATTGGTTTTCTTCTTTTTTTAATTTCAGTCTACTTTTTTTGATAAATTTAATGATGCTCATTTCTAGAAGAATCTAGAATTACTTGCCTAGAATATCCTAGAATTCCTTGGTAAGCAAGTATAATAAAAAATTAGAATTGTCTATATTCCACTAGAGTAACTTGGACACCAAAAAAAATCTTGTATAGATTGTAGACACTTGTAGAATTCTCTAGAAGATATGATAAGAGTCTATAAATAGGGCATGACCCCTCATTTATATTAATGGGATAATATCCATTGTGTTGTGTGTAGAATATGGCGATGTATCAAGATGTGAATGATCTTGTTCATCAGATCACCTACTATCAATCTCTGATCTAAAGTAGAAGATGAATTATTTCACTTTTTAAAGCTAAACGTGCTCTTAGTAAAAAAGTAAATAACATATACGGACCGTGCTTTGGCGTGGAAGGCTTGGATCTTTGAACACCCAAGGAAGCAAGATTACAATTAGCCCTTCTTCCATCAATCACTGGACTAGCATCGACACAAGCTCTCATCGCTGCTTCGGCTTCGCGAAAAGTTACCTATTTAATTTTAATCGTACAAATGTTCGTAAGTCACAGATCTAAATTACGATTAACAGAAGATGTAAATTGAATGGGAAAAAAAATACATACAAATCCATAACCCTTGGATCTTCCAGTAGTTTTGTCAGTGATGACGACAGCTTCCAAGATCTCGCCGAACTGTTCAAAGTATTTCTTCATGGTGTCCTTTTGAGTCTCCCATGCCAATCCACCAACAAAAACTTTGGTGTAAGTCGTGTCTCCGAATTGTCCTGCTGGATTGCTCATATTCAGTCTTTGGTCCAAACTTGAATCAGTGATTCAGATCTAATATACGGATCTTGAATGAATTTGGAGGTATATTTTGATGAGGAGGAGTGAGAATGGATAATGAAGAGACAATTAGGTCAGAGATCCCTGCGAGGGAAAGAAGAAGAAATGGGAGGGAAGAATACTGAGAAAGCAAAAGGTCGAAAAAGGACGTGAATTATATACGTCCTATTCTAGTCCCCCACTTGTTTATCAAATGTATTCACGCGCTTCTCTTATCATTCCCTCCTCTTTAATTTAAGTTACGAGAACAATCATGAATAAAAACAAAACAGGTCGATAAACGTTAGGCCTCGTTTGGTAGGAATTTTTTATCTTCAAAAATTAAATTTTTTATCGTTATTTTACTATTCAAGCTGTAATTTTTGATTTTTTCTCTCACATGTAGACCTCACTTTTCTTTTAACGGTCAAAAAAACAATTCTCAAAATCCCTACCAAAAGGGCCTTATTTTTTTTTTTAATTAAGCTCTTTAGACAGGCTTAAATTCAGACTAAAAAACAGGGATTTAAAATTTTCCACTTGACGATTGTCAGCCCACTTAATTTTGGAGGGAAGTCAGTAAGTGTGGACCACTCTTTTTGCCATTTTCCCACCCCCTGATTACCGTAAGCAGAGTCCAACTTTTACAAAACAAATACAGCTCGGAGCTCATGAAAACCGTCTATGACAACTATTCACATTTCGACGACGTTAAGGTCCGTCGAAGACGTTCAATCCCTGTCGAAGACGTGTGCATAGGTAAAATCAATTTACATTGGTTTTCTTCTTTTTTTAATTTCAGTCTACTTTTTTTGATAAATTTAATGATGCTCATTTCTAGAAGAATCCAGAATTACTTGCCTAGAATATCCTAGAATTCCTTGGTAAGCAAGAATAATAAAAAATTAGAATTGTCTAGATTCCACTATAGTAACTTGGACACAAAAAAAAAACCTTGTATAAATTGTAGACACTTGTAGAATTCTCTAGAAGATATGATAAGAGTCTATAAATAGGGCATGACCCCTCATTTGTTAGTAAGAAAAAAGAAGCTAGACAAAGTTCAAGCTATTGTAAGCTATTATCATTCTAATAAAATTCATTTCTCCTACCCACTTTGTCCACCAAATTACTTTCTACCAAAATCTTCCAAACTATTAACTTTCAATAAAAAGCCAACTATTTTTTACCTCCAAAATTATTCCATACAAAACATCCTCAATCATCCTATCTCATCACTACAACAACACAAAAACTATCAGTGGTATCAGAGCCACGTTCGATTGATATTGGGCGTACGCATATATGATGGCAGACGCTTTCCACTCATCAATTCCTATCCCAACATTTAATAGGGATAACTATGATTTTTGGTCTATCAAAATGAAGACCTACTTTTGTGCTCAAATTTTATGGGATGTCGTCAACGATGGGTATACTAACCCAGATGACATTTCCACTTTAACTTCTGCACAAAAGAAGGAACTTAAGGAGAATCAACAAAAAGATTCTCTAGCATTACTTTCTCTACAAATGAGCTTGACGGATACATATTTTCCAAGAATTATGGGAGCCAAAACAGCGAAAGAAGCATGGGATAAGTTGAAGGAGGAGTTCTACGGTAGTAACAAGGTACGTACTTGCCGCCTTCAAACTTTAAGAAGGAATTTTGAAAATCTAAAAATGAAAGAGTCGGAAACCGCAAAAGATTATTATTCAAGAATAGATGAAATAGTAAATCAACTAAGGTCTTATGGTGATGATGTTCCCGAAAAGAAGGTCGTTGGAAAAATTTTAATTACTTGCACAGAAAAATATGATTCAATTATTACAGCTATTGAGGAATCCAAGGATATAGATGAATTAACAGCTGCAGAATTAATGGGATCATTAGAAGCTCATGAAAAAAGATTAGAAAGGCGCTATGAAATGGAGATTGAAAACGCTTTTCAATCGAAACTCAATATGCCGTTTCAAAAATCTAAAGAAGGTGGGAGAAAATTTAAAGAGAATTCGAAAAATAAAGAAATTCAAGGAAAAGAAGTTGATAAAAGCGACAAGTATTCTTCATGCAGTATTTGTAAAAGAAAAGGTCATCAGGAGAAAGATTGTTGGTTTAAAGGTAAACCACAGTGTCGTAACTGTAGAAAATTTGGACATGAAGAGAAATTTTGTCGCCTTAAACAAAATCATCAAGCTAATTTCTCTGAAGAAAAGGAGATAGAAGGAAATCTATTTTATGCCTTCAAGAAGAATGTCTCTGAAAAGAAATTAGATACGTGGTATCTAGATAGTGGCTGCAGTAATCACATGACGAAGGATGAAAGTATTTTCTACAGTCTCGATAAAATAAATACAAAAATAAAAATTGGCAATGGAAATTTTATAGAGGCTACAGGTAAAGGTACTATTGTCGTTGATACAAAAAAGGGCAAGAGATACATTAATGAAGTTATCTTAGTCCCTACAATAGATCAAAATCTACTAAGTGTAGGTCAGATGATGGAGAAAGGATACAGTATACATTTTGAAGGAGATTATTGTACAATTTATGATAAAAAAAGATAAACATCTGGTAATTGCAAACGTCAAAAAAGCGAGAGAACAGATGTTTTCCAATCCAATGGAGATACGCAGACAATGTGGCAATGGCGGTGCAAGTAGACGAGTCATGGTTGTGGCATAAAAGATTTGGACATTTCCACTTCCATGGGTTAAAGATTTTGAAGCAAAAGAGCACGATGAAAGATTTATCGGTCATAAAAGAAATTGATGCAATTTGCGAAAGATGCTTGAGCGGGAAACATCACCGTCAACCATTTCCATCTGGAAAAGCATGGAGAGCCAAAAAGCCTTTGGAGTTGATACATACGGATGTATGTGGCCCGATGCGTACTCCATCACATAACCAAAACAGGTACTTCATTCTATTCATAGATGACTATACTAGAATGACATGGGTATATTTCTTGCAAGAAAAATCCCAAGTATTTGAGATTTTCAAAAAGTTCAAAAGCTATGTCGAAAAGCAAAGTGGTTGCAAAATCAAAACTATCAGAAGCGATAGAGGCAGGGAATATACATCAAATAAATTCAACAAGTTTTGTGAAGATGAAGGAATGGAGCATCAACTTACTGTTGGGTACGCGCCGGAACAAAATGGCGTGTCAGAAAGAAAGAACAGAACAGTAATGGAGACAGATAGAGCTATGCTGATGGAGAAAGGTCTTCCAAAAACATTTTGGGCAGAAGCAGTAAGCACTGCAGTCTATCTACTAAATCGATGTCCGACAAAGGCAGTGCAAGACAAAACACCAGTTGAAGCATGGGGCGGACGAAAACCATCAGCAAAACATCTCAGAGTTTTCGACTGCATTTGCTACATACATATACCTCAGGAGAAAAGAGGTAAGCTGGATGAAAAGACTGAAAAAGGAATCTTCTTAGGTTATAGTACTCAATCAAAAGGCTATCGAGTATATAACCTAAGAACAAAGAAGCTAATTATAAGTCGAGACGTAAAGTTTGATGAAGATGCCACCTACAACTGGGAGACTGGTCAAATTGAGAAAAAAGATGTCAGCACCCTTGCACAACCACAAAAGCAGGAGAGTGATGCTGAGGAGAACAATCAACCAGAGTCTCCGCAGCATGCAGTTATAGAAGAACCAGTTGACTCACCGGAATCATCGCCAAGAAAGACACGAAGATTATCAGAAATATATGAAAGATGCAACTTGATGATCATAGAACATGAAAGCTATGAAGCAGCTTCAAAACAACCAGAATGAAGAAATACTATGGATGAAGAAATAAAAATGATCGAGAAAAACAATACTTGGGAGCTTGTAGATCCCCCTCAAGATAAAGAAGTCATAGGAGTTAAGTGGGTCTACAAGACAAAATTTAATGGTGATGGCTCAATTCAAAAACATAAAGCAAGACTAGTTGCCAAAGGATACTCACAGCATTTTGGCATCGATTACACTGAGACATTTGCCCCTGTTGCACGTCTCGATACTATAAGGGCGTTAATTGCACTAGCCGCACAGAAAAGGTGGAAGATTTACCAGCTGGACGTCAAATCGGCATTTCTTAATGACTATCTTGAAGAAGAAATTTATGTGGAGCAACCTCAAGGGTACGTGGTTCGAGGTAAAGAATATAAAGTTTTCAAACTAAAGAAGGCATTATATGGATTAAAACAAGCTTCACGAGCCTGGTACAGCAGAATTGACAACTACTTCACTAAGCAAGGATTCAGGAGGAGCCAAAGTGAACCAATTCTATACATCAAAAACCAAGGTACAAATAGTACACTTATAATCTCTTTATATGTTGATGATCTCATCTACACAGGGAATGATGAGAAGATAATCAAAAAATCAAGGAAGATATGATGAAAACGTTCGAGATGACTGATCTAGGATTAATGCACTATTTTCTTGGGATCGAGGTAACTCAATCTAAAGATGGGATATTTATAGCTCAGAAGAAGTATACCACCAATCTATTAAAAAAGTTCAAGATGGAAGGTTGCAAAACAGTAGCAACACCTCTGGATAGCAACAAATCGCTTAGAAAAGAAGACGGTACTCCAAAAGCAGATAGTTCACAATTTCGGAGCTTAATTGGAAGTTTACTCTATCTAACTGCTACAAGGCCAGACATAATGTATGCAACCAGCCTACTTTCAAGATTTATGCAAAATCCAAGTCAAGTTCACTATGGAGCTACAAAGCAGATACTAAGATACCTCCAAGGAACAAAAGACTGTGGAATAAGGTATGAGTCTACGCCTGACTCAAGACTACTTGGGTATACTGATAGCGATTGGGCAGGATCAGTTGATGATATGAAGAGCACATCAGGCTATGCATTCACACTAGGTTCGGGAATATTTTCTTGGGCATCAAAGAAACAAGCAACGGTTGCACAATCATCAGCTGAAGCAGAGTATATTGCAGCAGCAATGACTACGAGTCAAGCAATATGGTTAAAGCGCATACTTGAAGATATGGGAGAGCCACAAAATGAAGTAATAAAGATCTACAGCGACAGCAAATCAGCTATAGCAGTGGTCAAGAATCCTGTATTTCACAGCAGAACAAAACATATTGGCATCACGTATCACTTCATCAGAGAAGCTGAAGCAAACAAAGAGATAGAA